TTTCAAGCTGTGTAGCGTGGCCTTTTTCAGTCTTAGGGTTGAGCCACCTTTACCTTAACATGTCCAATCAGTTCTTCAATTAACTCTACAACCGGAGTGTCCGGGCCAGCTTGTGCATTCCTCAACTATCCCCGGAATCCATTATATATTTTTGTAATTGAAAATCTGATTGTTTGTCGCTTAGTTGGATTATTTAGACAGTTGAGGGTAGACGTGGGCATCTGATTTGAAACTGTGTACTAGTGTTGTACACCATGTATAATTTGTGAGATATGAATGTGTGATTTTATTTCGGCTTATTTGGTATTAGACAGTTGTTTGTAGGTGTGGCATTTGATTGAAACTGTGTACTAGTGTTTTTAGAAGTGGCGGCCTTGTTCGGAGGTTGCAGCAGAGATTGGTGCAGTGTTTGTAGATCAGGGAGTTTGCAACAGCAGCAGTTTGCAATTTTTTTGTGCTTGCCTGGGGATGTTGCATGTTGTTCTGGGTTGGCTGGTTGTGTTTGCTGTTTCTACAGTGCTTTTTCTGTTTGGAATTGCTGCAGCAGATTTTTGCACTTTTTTGTTTGCAAGGAAGTTTTGGAGGGACGAAGGTTTCTCCAGAGTTGCAGCTTGTCTCTGCATTTGGTGGAGGTCTGGGAGATTCTTGTAGCCTGTTCGGTGTTGTGTAGCATTGGTGGGTCTTGGCAGTTTCTTTTCCTGGAAAGGTGGGGGGAAATCCCCACAATTCAGGGATTTTTCCCCCTGGCAGGGATGGCAATTCCCGTCATCCCTGTAGTGGGGACAGGACATGGACGGGGAATGGGACATCTGGCCTCGCCCCGCCCTGTTGCCCTCCCAACTTGTATGCAGTGTAAGAAACCAAGCGGTTTAATGTGAGTTAAAGCACCCCATGTAGGACACAACATGATAAATTCCTTTGATTCAATGCAAGTTTATGTTTCTATGGATTATTGCATCAAACCAAATGAGCATCCCCCTAGACCATCAAGAATCCATGGTTGGACTGAATAATATAGCAATATGGGGATCTACCAAGCATATCTTGTTACAACAATATGATAGTTATTGTTGTTTCTGTTAGATATTCTGGCTAAAGAAACTGCTTTGTATTAGAATAAGTTTATTGATGATTTAGTACTTGTGATTTTTTTATCTTTTTCGATTTTCCTGTTTTACAAATAATCTAAGTTTGTTGGCCATTGATTACATTTTCCCATATTAAAACGAGTTTTTATTTGCTTATTTCTTCGATACCTATAGGTAATGAGAAGTCGAACAAGTTTGGGAGGCAGAACTACCACCAAATTTTGACAGAAGTAGAATTGAGAAATTTATCCGCACCAAATTATCAACTGAAGCTTATGATTTATCAAATAAACTTGAGGACACGATTGGTTAATATCATCTACTACTAATTATACTATGGATTTTACAGGTATGCAGAGAAATGATGGTCTCCAAAAGGTGAAACAGAACCAGCTGCGAAACCTGCTGAAACGAACCATAACATTAACAAGTTCCCAGAAGGTGTCAAAGGTCGTGTTTCAAGAAAACCAAGGGCACTTTCTCTTGAGGATGAGATTTTTACTAAGCACAAGTCTCAAATAACTCCTCCAGCAATGAAGTTCCGAAGGGTAATGGCAATAGTTGTTCATATGTTTTCCCTTTTTGCTTTAGTTAAAGAAAATGTTGACTTCAATTACCAGGAAAGATGTTTCATACTCCATCTCCATACATCAGATCCTTTGTCACCCTTTGATATAGATGATAAGTTAGGCCAATTTTTCCTTTAGTGTCAGTGATGAGAAGGGTCTAAATGTAAGGTCTTGTCAATATGTCTTCTTATCTTCTCCATCTTTAACCTATCCTCATTTTGATTACATGATTTACACGGTTGTTTATTATTAGGCTTTTGTTATCAATTGCTGGGGTATAGGGATATATTTCAAGGTTCTAGGAGTACCAAACTTTGTAAGAAAGTTGTTATCTTTTAAGGCAAGACATGTCCACTGGTATGCCCAATGCACACAAGAATTTGTGAAGGAAATTCTGCCTGAATATTGGCATCAACTATCTTTCTCTTACTTTAGATACCATTATAATCGCAAACGGACACGGGGCAAGAGTAGACCTGGGCATTTGGGACCGGTCCCAAAAAACTGGCCCAAAAAACCAATCCTAGGAGGCCTAGTCCCAAACCCGGACCAGGCCCATGGAGGAGGGACTGATCCCTAGATTGGGCCCTCCAAGGCCCAATCTAGGTTGATAGAAGGAAAAAAAAAAATCACAAAGCTTAAATGGAACTAAACTAACTGGCGATAAAAGACACTTTATCACAATATGTAATATTTCCAATTTCTTCAGTGAATTTTGTGCTTGCAGGAGCAGATTTGTCGGACTCAGGCCATGGAACTGACAGAGATATCGAACTAGCAGTTGCAATAGAAGTCACTAAGTTTACAAACTGAGTGAAAATTGCATTGGTATCAACAAGAATGGGTGACTTTGCACATCCTTTCAGATCATGGTAAGTTGAACAATCTTTCAAGATTTCATTTCCAGATTCTTTTGTTTTCCAAAAACAAAGAAAACAGAAAGCACAATCGTCATGTAACATTTTTGCAGCAAAATGTTTTCTTTATTATTGTACATTAATAAATAGAACGGAACATCATTATTTACATTTTGTGAGGCTCTTCAACTGCTGATCAGACTTTTTGTTATGCCATTGGGTTGTATAACATTATACCATACAAAATTATAGAACAATGAAAAAATAATTTCGCCTGTTTGGATTTTTAATAATCTCAGGGTTTCTTAATACTTTTAGGGATAATTCATATTGTCTAATTGCCGTGTGTGTTTAATATTTAATCGACCACGCCAAAGGTGAATGAAATAAACCATAAAAATGTTCATGTACGGTTTTCGTGATACATTTCAATTATATTTTGAGTTGACTTCAACCAAGTATGTCTCAAAGCATTTTAACTAATTCTTGAAATTCTTTGTTTAGAATGTTTTATATATTGATAATCATAATATGAACAATGGAAGATTGATATTCAATTGTCAAAACTACTAATAACATTATCGACTATTTATTAACCATAGTATCAACACTCGAAGATTGATAAAACTTTTGATATAAGAACTTAACTATTTTTTTTTTTTTTTTTTTAATGAGTTGAAAATCTACCCCAGTCAATGATTCAAGAGATCATTTCACATATTAACAAATTTTTCAACAGGCTCCATTGTGTTTGTAAGTTTCTTAGAAACATGAAACTTCTGAAAGTGTTAATTAAAAAAATTAAGGAATTTATTAATTATTAAAGATAAAATATGTAAATATATCAAAAAAATTTGAATGAAACCTTCGCTAAAGCGGCATTTAAATGAAACAAAATGTCTATGTCCCCAACGATTATCTTATAATTTTCTTCAGATTATACATCAAATGACAGATATTGTAAAAGAAGCTGTCAAAATGTTTTTTTTTTTTGCCTCTTGCGTCAGAAAATCCTGAATTTATAATAATTAGAGGAATTAGAAATCAGATGTCACTTGAAGTTTAAGTGACAAAAAAATCATAAATAACCATCAGTTTGAAGGACTCTACATATAAAGATAATGGGAACTCATAAAATTGAAGAGCAGAAGATCAGATCATAGGGTGTCAAAAACGATTCACAAATCGACTCTTACCCGAGGTACCTGTGTTAAGAGAGAACAGATTCGGCAGTGTCAATGAATGAGGCCAAGCAGAGTGAATAATTTTATTCTTCTTATAAACAAATCATTCCAGCATGCCCACATACAACATAGTTTTTATAGTGAAATATCTCCAAAGCAATTTCAATCCTTCCATTTTTACACAACCCATAAATGAGGCTGTCAAAGATTTAAATACAAATATTAAACTTTCATTTCATTTGAAAGTACAAAACAATTTAGCTGCCTCCTGAACACAGCCATTCCTGCATAGCCCGTCTACCAAAATATTATATGTAACTGAATCAGGTGCTACATTATAAACTTTCATCTCATCAAATAGATTCCGTGCATCTCCAACTTTATTTGATAGAAAAAGACTGGTTTAACAAAGTGTCATATGAAAACACTGTTTGTTTAATTCCCTTTCAAATCATTTCCTTGTAAAGACTCATAGCATTCTCTAATTTCCAAACCTCGTTGGATCATCAAACGCAACAGCCAATTAGCTTCCTCTATCTTCCCCTCCTTGCAAAACCTACCTATCATTGTATTACACATCAGTAAGTTAGGGTGCAAACCTTGATCCGCGATCTCAACAAACAAGCCTTTAGCCTCCTCCAAATTTCCCACCAAACACCAACCATAAATTAGAGAGTTAAAACAACCACATCTGGCTTAATTCCCTTACCCTTCATTTCCAAAAACAATTTTTTTGCCTTATCTACCAACCCACCTTTACAAAGACCGTCGATAATACTTCCATAAGAAACAATATCAGGCTTACAAATAACATCTGGTCTTAAACCCTGCCTCCAAACTCCTATTCTCCAAACACAAACCTTTAATCAAAGAAGTGAAAGTCACAACATCTGGTCTTAAACCCTACCTCAAAATCCTCCCAAAAACAACAAAACCATCAGGCTTACAACCCTTACTCTCCATAGAGATTAGCAGCTCCTTTGCATCATTAGATCTATGCAGCAAGCAATAACCATCAATCAAAGTGCTATAAGTAACTATGTCTGGTTGCAAACCCCTTTGAATCATTAATTCCAAATACCCATTAACTTCTTCTATCTTTCCCTCTTTACAAAGCCCACTTATCATTGTAGTAAACGTCACCACATCAGGCTGCAAACCTCTTTGAATCGTCAATTCTAACAATCCATTTGCCTCCTCCATCTTCCCCTCCTTGCAAGGCCCACTTATCATTGTAGTAAACGTCACCACATCAGGATGCAAACCTCTTTGAATCATCAATTCCAACAATCCATTAGCTTCCTCCATCTTCCCCTCCTCGCAAAGCCCACTTATCATTGTATTATACGTCAACACATCATGCTGCAAACCTCTTTGACTCATCAATTCTAACAATCCATTAGCTTCCTCCATCTTCCCCTCCTTGCAAAGCCCATTTATCATTGTACTAAGCGTCACCACATTAGGCTGAAAACCTTGATCCACCATCTCTTCGTGTATCCTAAGTGCAATGGTGGTATTACCTGTTCTACCAAACCCGTTAATCAAGGTCCCATATGTAATCACGTTAGGCCTAACCCCAAACACAACCGTTTTCTTCAGAAACTCCATAGCTTCCGTACCCCTATTCTCTAAACACAAACCTTTAATCAAACAATTAAAAGTCACAGCATCTGGGTTAAAACCCCGCCTCAAAATCCTCCCCAAAACAACAAAACCATTACAAACTCGACCCACATTACAAAAGCAATTAATCAAATATTCAAAGAAATTAAATCTGGCAACAACTCCATTGAACCCACTCGCTTGTAAAGCAAAATAACATCTTCATAAAACTTTTTCTTAGCCAGTGCTCCAAACAACTGGTTGAAAGATGAAATTGGTGGTTTTGGTTGCAAATGAATCATGTATCCAAAGAAATATCGTGCTTCATCAAGAGTGACATTACCTTCTTTACAATCATTTTGGAGGAATTTCACAAACTGGGTTACTTTAATTACTAAATCTTGTGGTATGGTTGTAGTCACTTTACTTGGTTTTATGAATGAAGAAGGAGAAGAAGAAAAACGACGAATCAAGCTTTCGAGCACCATTTCAGTAGCGCCGTTTGTGCCTTGTGGATTGTCTGGGGTTCAAACTTCAAACTGGCTTGGTCTTTTCAAGGCAGGGTTTGCTAAACATTCATCGTTCCTCTTTATATATTTTTTATTTACTTTTTTATCTTAATTAAAATTGCAAATAGGTCGGGGCTTTAATAGAAAAGTTCAAAATGAACAATTCATATTTTTTAATAACCGTGTATGTGTTTTATCTTTAATATATCACGCAAGAAGTGAATGAAATTGTTGATGCTCGTTTTTACACCAACGAATTTTTATGTGTATAATATCAATTGACTGTTCGAGGCACGTGGAAATGGAATATATGAAAAGTAAAATAACTGTAGAGGGAGTTTTTAAGTGGTTCGGACGCTTAGATAGCAAGTCCTACGTCCACTGGTATGCATTGATATTAGTAAGTGTCAGGTCGCGGTCGCGAGCTGACTTACATCAGACGAAAAAGTCAAAGAAAAGTTTACAAGAGAGAGAGAGAGTGATTTGTGTTGCTTTGTGTAAAAATGGCCGAATCCCCTTAATGAAGGGGTCTTCCCTATTTTATACTGAACCGAAGTGTATAATCATCACTAAATCCGTGGTTTGGTGTGATTGTCAGTATATAATCTGGCTTTATGTCCCATTTCCCTTTTTCCAAGCTGACATCGCACGATTTGTTGCAGGAGAATGGACGCGTGTGGGCTCCACATCACTTGGCAGGTCTGACGTGTGCGTGCTGCTCTGACGGGAGCAGGTCGCCCTTCACGTGACCTTCCCACGTCAGCCCTTTTGTTTCCTTAGGCATAACAGAAGCCCCCTAGTTTTAAGGTTCGAAGGTCGACCTTGGAAACTAAGTTACGCCGAAGTTTTTACTCGCCCCGACCTGAACGGGAAGAGCTCGGTATAGAACTCTGGCGAACACGACCTCATGCAGTTCCCAGTCGGAGCGACCTGACAATCTCCACCTTAGCGACCTGGATCTGAAGGGCGCTCCTCGTACAGGTTCAACGAACCTGGTTTCACGCTGTCATGCGGTCTGCGCGCGTTAAAGCATGTCAGGCACAATAAATGCTCGCGTGCTGAGCTGGCACCGTTTGGTAGTGTTAGTGGCGCAGCGTAACCGAAACGAGGGCCATTACCACGTCAGTTAATCGACGTGGGGCGCATTTAATGCGGGGGAGAGAGTGTGGGCTGTCGTTTCAGTTCCAAAGGTGGTAACGTCGATTCGCAACCCCATATAAAAAACTGACTTTTCTGATGAAGCCACCGAAATTTCTTTTCTTCAGGTAGAAAACCCTCGCACGCCAGGAAAACTTCCTTCGATCGGCATTTTTCAGGCAATCGAAACGAATTTCGGCACCAGCTTCGCGTCCCAGGGAGTAAGGTTTTCCTTTTTCTTTTACATATATATTATTTTCTTTTTTTTTTTTTTTTTTTTTTGGTTGAACAGTGGCGTGGGGTCTCTCGGCGTTTCACCGGAGACACGACGCCGCCCTTGGATTCGAGCTGTGGACGGCGGCTCGAATCGTTGATAGATTTTTAGGCGTCCTGTCATTACTCGGACGAACACAAAGGCTCTATGACCGTGTCTGTCGATGTTGCAGACTGGAATGGAACCATCAACATCCAGACCGAGGAAGGAGCCAGCTCGCCTCGCGGGAGTCCCCGAGGACGCAGCCCTCGATGTTTACTCGGTTCTTACTTCCGAGGAGTTTGATAGATAAAGACGCAGTACGATATTCGCCAGAGGTGTTCCTCGACCATACCAGACCGTCGCGGCGCCCAGACACTGGTCTCGCCGCGATCTCAGAGGAGATCTTCAAGGGTGAGGGAGGATTCCCTTCCATCCTTTCATCAGGTCGGTCCTGGACCTTTCGGGATCGCACCGATGCAATTGACGCCAAACCGTATGTTATCGCTGTCGCGATGTACATCGCTGCTGCGGAGCGGCTTAGGAGAGCCAACGGCGGTAGAGCTCGGGTCGCCTACTACCTTAAGAAGAGTAGGGACAAGGACTCGTACTACCTATCTCGGCGACCTACCATTGCCGCGGGGATACATAGCTACCCCAGCAATGCGGGAGCCTACGAGTCAAAGTTCTTCTTTTTCTTGTACAACGCCTTGCCGTTTTCAAGATCCAAGTAGGTTTTCTTATTGAGTCTGTTATCTGCTTACCTGAGCCATAATAACGACCTGATTTGTTTTGCAGTTAACAGAACGACCCATCAGTCGCTACTCGCTGACCCGATAAGCTTGTGACAACCGCGAACTTGCGGAAGTACGGTTTTTTCAGCGACCAGGCTTCCTTAGAACCGCCAGAAGGTAATTCCGGTTTCTTTCTGGTCGTTAATGATTTTGTTTACTACGACCTCGAATGCAGGAACGATGCCCCCAAAGGAGTCCGGGCAGTCCCGTCAGCACCGTTTGTCTTTCCTCGATCGGTTGAGAGGGAGGCTGATGCTGCTCGTACTGTCCCGGCACAGCCGTGCAAACAGTCCCAGCTTCCCAGCCCCGCCCTGCTGCGCAAGGGGCAACCAGGTCGGACAGGCTGCTCAGGCACCGACTACTCCCCCAAGCGAAGGCTCCGGCCCAGAGTCAAGAAAAGAAAGCAAATTCAGCCTACGAGTCGGAGACCGAATCAGAGGAAGCCTCTTAGGTCGCGTCAGGGGTCCCGGAGGTCGTAAGGAGCCTGTGGGCGAGGCTGCAACGGACGCACCTGTTCTAGATTCGTTGGGAGTCTGCCCGAGTACCTGCAGCCGATCGTTTACGGCCTGCTCGATTGCGAGCTATCGGACTCCTACAACGAATTTGCAGATACGCGACGACCTGCTGGCTACGTCGTTTCAGCATCTGAGCAAGGTAAATTAACCGTACTTGGAAATTTCAATCCGATTTGTTTCTAAACCAGACTCTGCTCGCAGGGATTGCTTGCGATGAGGATGTCCATGGAGAAGACGCGTCTGGGGATGCAAGGAACAAGCGACCTGAAGAGGAGGCGCGAAGTTGAAGCAGAGCTTGGAGTCTTTCGAAGCTGAAAGAGCACAAGCGTTCGAAGCGGCGGATAGGTATCTGCACCAAAAGGATGCCGCCTTGCGATCAGTGGATTTCCAGAAGGCTGAGCTCGACCGACGTGCGGAGGAGATCAAAGACTTCAAAGGACGACCGCCCGCCTCACCAAGGAGGTCAGTGAAAAGGACCAAGAACTCGGGCGACTTTCGAACGGGCTCAGCGACTGAAGAAGCTAATGGGCCTTCGAGCAAGAAAGGCTGGCCCTTGAGGCCGAACTTCAGGAGAGTCGGGAGAGGATCACCGCACTGACGGCGAAATGCAGAATCAGTCTGAGGGATGAGAGAAGGCCGCGGACTGGGCGATCGGGTCCATCTACGCCCTTTGCGCAAAGAACCCTGATTTGGATTTCTCCGACCTCCCGAATCTCTGGCAGGCGACCTTGCGGATCATGGCCGAGGAGGACCAGGCTGCCGCGGCCACCCAGGAACCCGACCAGGGACCCGACCAGGCTGGTGGCTCCGGCTCGAAGGATCTTCCCGACCAGCCTTAGTGTTTAGAGAGTCGCTCCCTTTGTACCGAGTCAAACTTTTGTATATGACTTTCTTTGCAATTGAATTTACTTTTTATAAATATGCACTATTTACAATTGTGGTTCACATGAGCAATTACATATAAATTTTGACATGCGAACAGAACCACTCGAACTGTTTTAAGTAAACAAAGCAACTCTTAAAAAGAAATTATCAAAAACTGAGCTGGGTTTGGGATTACTGATAGTATGGCCGAAGGTGCTCGGCGTTCCAAGCTCGGGGTACCTTGGAGCCGTTCAACTCTTGAGATGGTAGCTCCCGGTCTGATCACTTTGTCGATCCGTATGGACCTTCCCAGTTAGGCCCTAGTACCCCCGCACTTGGCTCTCTGGCTCCGAGGAGAACTTCCTTTAGCACCAGGTCTCCGACCTGGAATCTCTTCGCCTGACCTTCGAGTCAAAGAACCTTTTTGCTCGCTGCTGGTAGGCTGCTATCCTTAGCGAAGCCTTGCTGCGATGTTCTTCAATTAGATCCAAACTCGCTCTCAGAAGTGCTTCGTTGTCGTCCTCGTTGACAGGTCCCTCCAGAGAGACCGTCCCGACCTCGACAGGGATCATGGCTTCACAGCCATAGGCTAATGAAAACGGGGTTTCCGAGGTGGAGTCCTTGGAGTTGTCCTGTACCCCATAGAACTTCGGGGAGGTCTCAGCCCAATTTCCCTTGGCTGCCCGAGCTTAGCCTTCAAGTGTGCTTGATGGTCTTGTTGACTGCTTCAACTTGGCCATTCGCTTGCGGCCTGGCGACTGAGGCAAATTTTTTGTGGATGCCCAGCTCGTCGCAGAACTGCTTGAACTCCTCATTATCGAATTGCTTTCCATTATCTGAGATAAGGGTGTGAGGAATTCCGTAGCGGCACACTATGTTCTTGAAAACGAAGTCTTTTAACTTCCTGGTCGTAATCGCGGCCAGTGGCTCGGCTTCTACCCATTTTGTAAAGTAATCCACCGCGACCACGGCGTACTTGACCCTTCCCTTTCCAACTGGC